CCTGTTTACATATATGGGAATGTTCTTCAATTTAGCTTGGATCTCATTGCTTTGTTCATATATATAAATCCAAATACTGAAAGCATATATATTTGCACCCTTTGTATTAAATGTATTTGTCCTGTATTTTCTACTAAAGTATTTAAACAAAACCAACAACTGAAGACAAGCTGGAAGGAAACCATACTTTCACCTGTCAGGTAAAATCAAAGTCACCATGTTGAATTACATTTTAGACTTTTTCTTAGGCATGTATTTATTTTCAATAGTCATGTTAAAGCTATTTTAAACTTCTTAAGAGAGTATTGGCATTTTTGGTTTCTTTTTTCTTTCTATGTCAATATTAGTAATGTATACTTTTATTGAAAGAATCCCTTTCATTCAGGTTTTAAAATGTAGCCATAGTTATTTAAAATAGTTCTTTTAAGATATAAGGGGGAAAACCTACATAGTTTTGTTCTTTATTCTTTTTTTTTTTCATTTATTCACATGTAGGTACATTGTTTGGGCCCTTTCTACCCCCCTGCCCCCTGCCGCCTCCCTCTCCCCCCAACCCCCTCGCTTCAGGAAGAACCTGTTCTGTCCTTTTCTCCAATTTTATTGAAGGGAAGACAAGCAATAATAAGAAAGATAAGGCATTTTTGCTAGTTGAGATAAGGATAGCTATACAGAGAGATTCGTAGCATTGCTTCCATGCACAAGTGTATTACAACCCAAATTGACTCATCTCTACCTGACCTTTACACTAGTTCCTGATCCCCTTCCCATAGTGACCTCTGTCACTTTAAAGTTTCTGTATTAGCTCCTCTGCCATGGGGACCTTACTTTTTTGTGTGTTACTAAGGATCAAACTACAAGGGCTCATTCAAATGCTGTGACAATTGAGCCACACTGCCAAGACTTCTGCTTTTGATTTGTTATACTAACTTTATGTGGATTGGGCTCTGTCCTACTATCGCCACCTCTTGAGTAGCTGGGATTACAGGCTTGAAGCACCATTTCTGGCTCTCTTTTTTATTCCTACTTTTTAAAGTGTTTTTTTTTGTTTGTTTTTTTAAAGAACTGGATGAAAACTTTTTAATTAGCATTTGATTTTAGTTATCTCTATATTTTCTGGTTTATATTTTATTTATGATGTAATATAATTTTCCCTCTTTATATGTTCTTTGAGCTTACTTTGTTCTTTTCCTAGATGCTTAGTTTGATGCTTTTCAATATTCTTAATATTTTTTCTTTTGATACATGATTTGAAATTTATATCCTTAAACAGGATATATATCAGTCATACTTCAGAAGATATGATAGGTAATATTTTCATTGATGTTTAGTTTTAAGCATTTAATAATTGACTTTGTAATTTCATATTTAATTCATGAATAATTTAGAAATAAGCTTTTTAATTTCCCAATATATGAAAGAATTTTAATTATTTGTCATTAATTTTTAATTTTATTGCCATACTCTGAATAATTGTTCTTTATAGTAATTCTTCAGAATTTGTCAAGATTTTCTTTTTGTCCTGTGTATTCGATAAGTTAATATTAGTTCTAAAAATCTCAAAAGTTATAAAAGTTTACTTTTCCCTCATAGGAAATCCAAAACAGGTGCTCCGGTTAAGAAGTATCTTCAAAATCCTAAGATATTTCTGTGTATTAAAAATTGTCCTTAGACAGGGAAGAGGCTGGAGAAGTCATCCTTAAATTATATGGACCAAGCCTAGAGAGAGTTTCATCACATGTGTCACATACCATTGATCAGGAATCAGCTATATGCCCATCTAACTGTAGAGAAGACTACAAAGGGTGCAAACATGCATCCGGAGGATAGAACTTTAGTTTGGGGAAAGTCTAGTTAGTGTTGACAAAGCCATGTCCTTTATTAACTTTTACAAATGCCCCATTTGAATTAGAAGGAAGAAAAATATATTAGTTACATTTAAGCTTTAATACATCATGTTTGCTGTGTTCTACACACCTGTAACCTCATAACATCTTTGTTTTAGAGTGAGCACATTCTGAGAGAGTTGTGATCTTTTTTATAAGATTATTGACATTGTATTGTCATTTGTTCTAGTCAGTTTATTACTTTTATCAAACTATTATGTCCTATGTTGTTTTTAGTTTATATTATCTTTTAATTTATACCAATAATGTAATACCTGGTTTCTTTTGGCTAGGTTTTGATGCATATTCAATCATTTCATATTTACAGTAGGTTTTCCATGTTGTTTAATGTTTGTCCTTAATAGCTTGTAATTAGATTAAAAATATCCATTCTAATATTTAATATTCTAACTGATGCACATTAATTTCTTTTATATCTATTTTGTTATTGTGGTTTCTTTTTGTACTGTACTTTATGTTACCTTTTTTTCCCTGGCTCAATCAATGGAATTTTATCTATATCTTCTGTCTCCTTTAGAAAATATGAATACTATATATACTATTTTTGTTCCTTAAGACATACACTCCAGTATCTCATTAAAAAGTATAAACTTATCTTATGAATGTATACAATAAAGACCTTGTTGACCATTGTTTTTATTGAAATACTCTTACACATCCTTTACTTTTAGCTTTCTCTTTTTAAACACAACTGTTTAATTTCCCCCCCTGTCCCCTAAAAAAGCTTACTGGGGTTTGAACTCAGGCCTTCGTGCTTGCCAGGCAGGGACTCTACTGCTTGGGTCACACCTCCAACCATTTTTGCTGGAGCCTTTTTTTAGACCTATGGTCTTATTTTATGTTCAGACTGTCCTGGGCTGCGATCCTCCTATTTTATGCTTCTTGTGGTACCCAGGATGATAGGCATGTGTCATAATGACCTGCATTTTTTCTGTAGAGATGGGGTCTTGCAAGGTTTGTGCCTGAGCTGGCCTTGATCTTACATCCTATGGATCTCAGCCGTGCAAGTAGCTAAAATTACAGACATGAGCTCCTCACGAGCACCCAGCTCCTCCTTCATCTTTGACACAAAATTTGTTTTATGTTTAATATTTAATTATTTCAAAAATGTTTATTTCATTTTTGTAATTTTACTTCTAATATTCTTTTCCTCCCTGTTACATAAAATCTCATTCCAGAGAGATATGATGAAGTCATTAATAGAGGCAAGCAACTTCAATTCAGGAGGTGTAGTTTTTGTTTCACATGATGTTTTCCTAAGTATTTCTTCTTTATTTTCCAAGGCATTTTGTTTCCTCTTTCATGGACAATCTTTTATATTTTTCTAGGACCAAGAGGAGAAATAGAACAGATTAGTGATGAAGATTCACCAAACTTATTGAGATATATTATAATCAATTCATTTGGAATTCTGAGATTTGACCTTCCTAAGACTGTGCTGTTATCTGAAATCCCTTCAGAGTTCTGAACATCAGAATTCTGTCTAGATGGCCAAAGTTTTAAACTCTACAAAGTATTTCAGTGTATAAATCAACATGTAGAAAAGTGAGCATAATTTTAATACTCCTCAAATCATCTGTAAATGTATTTGTGTGTGCCTCTTCACTTACAAGTTTTTAGGCTTAAAACATAATGAAAGGTACACTCTAAATTTTTAATTAAGGATTCCTCAATTAGAGTGATGAGAGTAGATAGCAGAGGCAGAAGAAGGGAAGAAAAGGCCAGCATGTTAACTAACTTGGCTACAGTAATCACTTCAATTCTTATATAGATACCAAGCACCATATTTTACACTTTAAATATATAAAATAAAGTATATATTGAAAACAAAGTAATAAACTATATTAAAACAGAGAAACTCAATGCCTCTCCCAATTTTTACATGTTCATTATCCCATTTATATAATTATCTACTGTGAAAATTATACAGCAGTAGTTAATTGAGACCACAAAGGAAGTGAACATTTCACAATAAGATCTTTTGAATTGTTTTATCATGCATTTCAAATTTATCACTTCAGAAATATCAGTGTTCTGGTTCTCCCTAAGTACATTCTTGCCGTTCTGTACCTCACTAATACAGCAACAACATCAAGCAAGCACACAGAAGCTTATAGTATATGAAAGATTTGCATCCACCATGAATCAGGACTGCTGAAACTCTTTCTTGTTGGTAAACTGTGGTTCTAATCTCTGCAATAGGCTTTCAGAATAAAAGGAAACAATATAGAGTAGGCAGTTCATGGATTTAAGAGTTTAGTAGGCTTTGCCATGTACCAGCTGTGTAATGTAGTATGGGTAATTGCTAAGACAGAAACCCACTTTTATCATCTCTTCTTCAATCTATTGTTAACTGTATACTTATGGCTGTCAATACCAATTAGATGGTTTTGATAAGCATAGATCACCAACCAGAGTAGTTTGTCACAGCCTATATCAGTAGTGGTATGTCCCTGAGTTAGAAATATTTCTGTATACACATCACCATAGGGATGGTGATGACAGCAATATTAGTCACAAGATTGTTGGGAGAATTCAATAAGATAATATGTGTAAGCTCTAATTAAGATAATATATATATAAAAAGTATTCAATAGAAGCAGCTAAAAAAATAACATCTCACTTGGTTTTGGACCACAAATTTAGAAGGAAATGATTAGTACAAAGCTACTCAGGCCTAATATTTTGTACTTTTTTCTGTGTATGTATATGTGTATGTTGTGACATTATGATAAAGATTAGGTATTATGTACTACCAAGGAAAATTGTTCACATTGAACCTGATGACAAGCATGGGAACAGTAAGAAGATAGAGAAAGAAAACAGCCTCAGAAGCATAAAAGCTGTCCTAATTATAGTCATTGAGGAGAGTTACAATGCATTTTTTATTATCATGCATCTTCTGTGTATATTGCAACTACCACTGTTACTTTCCACACACTCTGGGTAAATCATTTGCTTTCTCATTGTATCCATTGCTCAGGGTATCAATGAGGATCTTCAGTAAAGAAACTCCAAGTTCTCTTTGTTTTAAAATGCTGTGGCTTTATGACCACAAAACAGCACAAGTCCCAGTTTTCAACTCTTAGTCAACACTTAAGAGAAAGACCTCCTCTCTGAGTCTGTGTATTTATTTTCAGGGTCCAAAGTTTTTTGCTCTTCTTCCTTATCTGCCATCCCCACTAATTCTTCAAGTTTTTTCTCCAAATATTTCTTTAATGTTCTTCGGATTGTCTTCATTTTCCTCCGATGAGTGACACAAAAATAGATTCTAGAGAAAGAAGATAATACCAACTTCAATGTCAGCAGCTCATTCAATAAAAACAATTACATGTTTCCTTCTTTTCTGGATACCTGTCCTCTATTTCCGTTTGTTCCTACCCTTATTCCATTTATTTAACTCTCATCCTTTTCATTCCTATAAATATTATATCCTGTATGTTGAAATCACTTTTTTCAAAGGGGGATGAGGAAGTTTGGGCAATCTCTTTGGCAAAGAAATGCTTAAACCAGTGTTTATTTGGAGGGAAGAAAACTCACAATAACACAGCACTTGCCAATATTACAGCTTCTGCCAGGAGTATCAGAAATAGTGCAATCTCTCTATTCTCTGCCTTTTGGGGATCATCCTCTGGAATGAGAAAAGAGGAAAAGGAAAGTTTTAAAGAAGAGAAATAAACACTAGGAATCTGTACCCAGAATATCCTCATAACTTCAGTTTTGCCCTGCTTACTACTTGTTCATTATTCCTTGGTTCTTTGGCCTTGTACTTTTCAAACGGTTAGGTTCTGCACAACTTTTACTCTTTCTGCCCATAGTCTAACAATTTCTCCATCTTTCATCCAATCTTTGCATTTTTAAGCCCTTCAATTGGCCCAGTGCCATGTTATTCATACTGGTACAAAATTGGCCCAATATTTTAGCTATTACTTTGTAACATTACCGTGGGCTGCATAGAAGGTACTCAACAAATACTTGGTGATTAAATCAATAAACAACCCAATTCTTTGATCCACGGGCCCTCAAAATGTCACACCAAAATGTATGTCACCTCCACAATATTCTCCTTTGAAACAGCGGGTGTTGATGCGAAGACAAGTCCAGCAATCAAGGACGGGACCCTCAGTCACGACTGTTAAAAAAAGAAAAAAATAAATGTCTGATGGGGGTATATAAAAAGGGTTATTTCTTTTTAACTCATTCAAAGTATAGATTAGATCTCAGACTTTGCTATAACTCTTGGGTGACATTGTTCTAAATTCCTTCTTTTCCTAGTAATCAAGTTTTTTGAATGGGCAAAATCTGCAAATGAAATTAGATCTATGAAGAAGAAGTGGGAAAAATGATGCCTTAGATTATATTGGGCCAAGGGGTTGGGAAGTATACTTTAAAAGATACATTCTAAATCTGTGGGGTGTGCAAGAGTTCATAAACTAGATTTTCTAATCAGATATTGTTGACATTCCCCCTTGTAATTTGGTTTTGAATGTAATGGGTGGGAAAGACAAGTTTTATAGAGCAAAGGAGATGGGAAAATAGGTGCTGAAACCTCAAGGCGTCACATGTACTGTACTCACTGCAATCTTCAGAACAAGCTAAAAGAGAATCAGAAAGTTCTAATGAGATCAAAATCAATTTAGGGCTTCCCATATTTATACCCAAGTAATCTTTGGTTATCTATTCAAAGGGTTAGTTCCATCTATCCCTCCACTCATTCTATATGACTTTACTTTGAACCCTCACCTCATTCCTCCTTTCACCCCTCACTCTCTATTCCCTCCACATAATTTTAGTGTTGTTAGATAGAAATATTTCATTACCAACTTCAGAGAAGCTTTTTAATGTTTCTTTCAATTTAGATTCCAGGTTTTGGCGGACCATGAGAAGCTTGCCTTGAATGATGAAGGCACCTAAGAGGAAATAGAAGGGTTGTTGGAAATCAAGGTGTCCCTTCCTTTCAGAATTTAATTCTACTTCTTTTGCTTTGTTCTCCCCAGCCAAATGTCCTCAGATTTGCATGGGCAATACAAACTTTTGACAATAAAATAATACCTCACCTTTCCATGTTTCATTTCCCAGTCTATAAAGTTCATCCTTCAGCCATATTCTCAACTTGACAACCTTTTGAACAGCTAAAGAAGCAGTGGAAAGGCACATGTGGGGCAATAATCATCTGTGGAGGAAATTGTGCGGACCCAGGTGTTCTCTTCCCTGCCTCCCTTCTCCCAAAACCTCTCAGGGACTCAAGCTTCCCTCACCCAATACCCGAAGCATCTTGTCACTGTGGGAGACCTTGAAGATCAAATAGACCATCTCTTTAAGCTGCCGTTCAAGCAGTTGATTTCGACCAGGGACTTCTGAGGGCATCAGCCTTGCCAGCAAGGTCCTAATATCCTCTATGAATTTTGGGTCACAGTCCAAACAGCCTTTGACACCATGGAGGGCTGCCAGGGATAGGGGCAGGAGGAGGAGTACCCATATCTCACCCATTTCCTGGCTCCAATCCCCCTTCCCCCCAACAGCAGGTTGTCCTGGCAACTAGTTCACTTAGTTCCTTTTCCTTCAAAAATCCAGGAATGAGAGGCTTGTCCTAGATATTCTGAGTCCATTTTTCTCTCCTTTTCCATCTCAATTTTAGGGAATCTTATTTCCCTAAGGATCTTCAGTTGTTTTCTGACATTTATCCTTCACTTGAGAGAAATGGAACTGCTAGCTAGGGAGCAGTTACCAGAGTTCTGAGTGCAGAACATGCAGAAAGAGAAGCGTTGAGCTCACACAGGTGGAGTTCTGTGCTGGGAGATACCTCAGGAAACATTTCCTTAACTCTCTTCTGGATTATGTCCTTAGCAGATTCCCACACCCATTCTGTCCACTGTATCAATAAAAATGGAAAGTGGAAGAGATCTCATAGGATCTTGGAATTTGACCCAAATTCTCTACTTCTAGGAGGTAAGAAAAGTTGTTGGGATCTCACTCTCTTGATAATTGCATTGTTGTGAATAAAGTAATTATACATAGTAAGGATAATTTTTATATAGTTGATGATTTTTCGAATAAATATTTTATACTGTAATTGTCTGTGACATGATTCCCTTAGCCATGCTTTTTAGCATTTTACTGTCATCCTTCCTAAAGACGCTGGAGCCAGAGATGTTAAGAAATAAGCAGTGAGGAGCAGGAATCTGGCAGCTTCCTGAGTCCTTTAGCGGATGTGCCCTGAAATATTCATTATGGATAATCACAACCACAGTCGTCATGGGCCGTGCTCTCAGGCCACTACGTGAAAGGGTCAAACACAAGCTGGTTTTTCTTTCAGGTTATGGATCTTTGAATAAGAATGTTTTTTGTTTGAAGAAATTAAGGCTATTTACAGACTTTCAAGAGAACTAGTTACCTCTTTTCTAATATACTGTTAGTAGGATTGTTACCTTTTGGAAACCAGGAAAGTCTTCCAGTGGTAGTAGAATTTAGACCTAAGATATGATATTGTGAAGGAGTGGGAAGTTGTGAGAAAAAGTCAAAAGAGCTACCATGAATTATATATCTACCATGTGGATTGTGTCACACTATTTAGATGCACTATTGCAAGTCCTCATGGAATAACAGTGCTTTGAGAGACTGTCATCTCTCATTTTCAGATAAGAAACTATGGCTCAGAAATGCAAATAAATACCATTCCTGGAAATATATTTTAGTAGTTATGGACTCAGGCATCAGGATCCTATCTGTCTAGCTCCAAACTGTATACTTCACTGTCTCTTTATAAGCACTTTCTAGGATAATACAGAAAATAATCTCTTGGAACTTGACAAATTAGGAGATGGAGCCCAGCTGAACTCTTTTAATAATAAATGACTTATGGCTCAAAATTGGCATTTTCCTGCTTTGATTTTTATCTTCTTTAGACTAGCTGTTCTCACTTTTAGAGAATCCTCCAAAGGATTTTCCCATGCTAAAGTCTGAAGTCAGGAGAGCTAATGGAATTCAATGATGTCTACGAACCAAAGTTGGGACTAAGAGTGTTAAAGAAAACTTGGTAGGACATTAGATATAAGAACAAACTGCTCTTCAACAGAGCTACATGCTATAGGTAGTTTTATTATGATAGATACTTTTTGTTTTTGTTTTGTTTATGAGACGGCCTCCCCTTGTAAACCTGGTTGATATTGAACTTCAGACTCTTCTGCTTTGGCTTCCTGAGTGCTAGTATTACAGGTATGTGCCACCATGCCTCACAACAACACATACTTTTACTTTTGGACACTTTAAAGATAATTCTCTGTCCCATTACTACATCAATTTTATTCTGTTGAAATTGTTTTGACTCAGACTCAGTGTCCCATCTAACATTTTTATCTTTGCTTCAGCATTCCAGCTTAGTTTGCAATTCAGGACTTTAGGATGAGAGTAAATGTTATAACTTGGTTTTTGGATGACTTGGAAAGGCTGAAAAAGGACAAGTCACTTCCTCATAAGACAAACAGGGGTTATAGTAAAAGGGAATGTATAAAAGAGATAACAATGGAGGAAATCTTGCTCCCATGGAATAAACATTGTGCTAAAGGCAGAGGCAAACACAGAGGTCTATGGAAAGGCAGAACAACACTAACCAATTCTGGGGGAATTTCTTATAGAGATATTGGACCCATGGGAATAGAAATGAGAATTAATGAATATATGTTGAAGAATGAGAATCCAGTAATAATCAGGAATCCATAGGGGAGCACTCTGAACATACTGATGACAGGTACATAATATAGATAAAAATAGCTACAATTATCATAGATGGTCTTTAGAGTTTCATAAGTGAAAAATGTTTAAAATTTGGGAAAGAAGAGATGCCTGGAAATTGATTAGTAATATAGTGATCCCATTACTTAATTAAAACAATAATACTTGTGTGTGGGAGGCATAAGGCTAATACCCAAAACCTGGATTAATTATACTACTATTGATTTGGATTGACATGAAATTTGAAGAATAGCTAGTTGAACTCCTCATTTGTTTAGAGTAAATACAGCCCTCCATATTGTGCCAAATATATATTAATTATTTGATAAGATATTCATAGGCAGTTATTTTGTTTGTTTTACTAAAGCTAACAGTTACAGAGCCTCTCTTTCCCATGAAAAAGTTAGTTGTTTGTGATATTTGGCTTTTTTTTGGTACAAATCACATTACAAATCTCATAATGTAATGAGGTTTAAAATTTGGAGAACAAGTTTCATAAAGAAAAGCAAGCAGCTTCTTAAAAAATCTTTTCCTTCATCCCAAGGCAAATCTGATAACTAGATCCATAAATTAAAAAAATTAAATTTTTGCAGCTCAAGCTTCTTATAGTCTCTTTTCTGATTAATTATTTGCCCTTGTTGAAACTTACTGTATTATTTCCCTCCTATCATGGTATGATTCTTTAAATGTCTAAGAAATAATCCAGATAGCTTTTGTAGTTAAGGGAGTTTAATGTATTTCTGACTATAATCTGGTAGTAAGAAACCATAATTAGGCCATGTTGTAAACTATCCTTCTAGACAGCATTGCAATTATAAGTGATGAAATAATTACTATATGCCAGACATTGCACATGTAAGTTTAGTCTTTTCTATATGCCTCTCATTTATCTATTGTCATAAAGCCAGTTTCTCTCCTCATGTTCTATTTATCCTTTAGGAAAGGTCATAAGCTTGTCTAAATTATTTGGTACCATGGAAGATTGAGGAGTATATTTTTAACAAGATATGAACTAAAATTCAGTCCCACCACCAAGGATTGTGGGGAGCATGAGGAGAGGGAGATAATAGAAACAAAAGATTTGAGCCAAAATTTCTTCTCTTTATGGAGGGCCCCAAATGGGAAGATACATTAGATAGGTGACAGGAAATATCAAAGGAATATGAGATATTTCCCTGTTTCCTTTTGTACTTTGAAGACCAGATGGGTACCCTCATGTGGATAGTTATACCTGAGGTAAATGGTAAGTGTGGCAGCATTTGTTGATAGAAAGTGCTCCTGAGACAGTATTAAGTCCCATATGGTGTCAAAGAATCAAGATAATTTTACTGGTTGATTGGGAAAGATGTGCCAGTGAACTTCAGGAGATGACTGGGAAATGTGCCAGTGTTAATCATCAAAGTTTTAGGTAAAGGTACCTTGTATGAGTGCTGGAGAACATATACCAAGTCAGGAAAGGAAATGGACTTTGCAGAAGCCCGAGGGGCTACATGAAGCCAAATTATCAGGAAAGACCACCAGACCCTGGAAGCATTGAGACAATAGTCCCAGACTGACTCATGTGTGGTTTCCCAACAAACACAACTGGACAATTCAGAGATGGGATGGTATCAACCTCAATTTAGAAGGTTGCCAAATAATTAAACAGATCATTAACATTAATAAATATCTTTTATTAGACAAGGGAGCATGCATCAATGAAGAAATTCACTATACAGTTTGCTGGGGAGGTAAAGTCATGAGTTTAAGTCCTCTCTATTACAGGAGAGATTTCCTAGCTACCATTTTGGCATGTTAGATAAGATGGATTGAGTCTGTGGGTGGCATCATAGTTGGGTTCTTTCTTAAAAGAGTTCTAGCATCCCAGAGTTACTCAAAGTTCATAGTTATCATGTTCAGCAGGGTACAGCTATTTGGGATGAAACACAGTTTTCATATCTCCTAGACAAACACTGGTAAACTTCCTCTACCTGCTGCACACTCATGGATTCCCTCAACCACCTGGTGTCATGAGGGAACATAATTCTCCCACCCTCATTCCTACATCCTATTTTGAAAGAAGTAAAGAAGGGTAAGGAATTATCAAAGAAAGATTCGTTCAAAGAAATCTAGCTAAATAATTTGCTTAAATTATAGGGTGCAATTGAGTCTATCAGAATACTTTTATTTTCTCCCCAGTGAGATGAGGAATGAAGTGTTCTGAGAATACCCAGACTAATTATAGAATATGAAGATGTAATGTTTCATTTGTATATCTGAGCCAGTATAAATAAATGTATGACCCTGCAACTTAAACATGTTATTATTTAATTCTCAGGTCTGCTTTACTATTTCTGTTTTATAAAATAGGAGCCTGGTGTTTAGATGTTTAGAAGAGCTTAAATATTTAGAAGAGCTAAGGGACTTGTGGAAGGTCACATAGTTAAGTGAAGGAAAGATGTGGGGATACAACACAAATCTGTCTAATTTTAAATCTATATTCTTTTTTAACTACCAAAATGTTTCCAGAAGAGAGTTAATCCAAAGAATCCAAAGTGCCATGATCACCACCTCAAAATGGCAGGAATAGAGATCTTCAAGGAAATCACTTTTGTAAGAAAAGAAAGGCACTTTGTCTAATTTCTTTCTAGTTTTTTTTAAATAAACGAAGTCTGTAATTCCTAACATCTTTTAATATTTTCTCCACACTGAATTCTTTTCTCCCTTCCTCACAATTAATAGTAGTCGTGATTTGAAGGATATTTATATTCAATTTTAAC